AAATGGTATTATTACATACTTCTTGGATTGGTTGATGTTGAAGCAAATTTTCTTGGTAAGTGTTTCCAATGACAGAGATATAGTATTACATGGAGAGCACTGTTGAAATTAATATGTTTGTATGCAATCTGCTCAAGCAACAGCTGGTAAGAGAAGAATTAAAATTTGATGAGGAACCTATGGTCCCAAATTTATTTGCCAAATCTAGAATCCTGAAGTATAGCTTTAATCTTTTCTTTCTAAACACTTACTGTTTGGACCATTTTGTATATAATCTAATGAAGCAAGTCACGAGTTGGATGATATTACTTTTGATGATTTGCAAGCTAATTCTCATCTAATGAACAGTTGTGAAGGCGTATCAGTATACATCATTAACTAGCGTGATGCTGCTTGACTGCTGGTCCATTCCATGTGTCATGGTTCTTACGTGGATTTTCTTGAAAACAAAATATAGATTCAAAAAGATAACTGGCGTAGTTGTTTGTGTTGCTGGCCTTGTCCTGGTTGTATTTTCAGATGTCCATGCAGGCGACCGAGCAGGTAGGTGGCTTATTTTGTACTTGATATTGACATCTATATTGTGGTATACGTAAGCACATATATGCTTTCACACTAGAACATTTCGAGAGCTAGAGTGTGTGCATTCATCATCTATTTTATTCAAATTCATTTGCCTATATACATTTTAATCCTATCATTTTTCATTAGTAACCTATATCTTTCTCTTTATGGTAGTTGTCTGATGTTATATACACCTGCTATAGGTGGAAGTAATCCTCGTACAGGGGACATTCTTGTCATTGCTGGTGCTACATTGTATGCTATCAGCAATGTCAGTGAGGTAAGCTGATTGCACTTCTGCTTTTAATACATTTTGAAACATATTGCTATTTGCAATTTACAATGTGTATATACTCCTGTTGAAAACTTATTTAGTTGATTGATCCAAACCTTCAAGTCAAGCGTAGCTTGAATCCGGGCTCACGGCAAAATAAGAATATGTTTCATTTGGGCTAATTGAGATGCTCCCACATGATTCATTCACACTCAGCAGTGCATATTAGTATTTCCTTATGTGTAAATTGTAATCTCTTTTGTTATTGTTATTTCTTTCCAATTACAGGAGTTTCTAGTGAAAAATGCTGATAGAGTTGAGCTGATGGCAATGTTGGGTCTCTTTGGTGGCATTGTCAGTGCCATTCAAATGTATCCTTGAAATTTATGTTATTATGAAGAGTAGACTAAGGTCCTTCAATTGAATAATATTTTCTTAGCTTACTTTAAATCAGGCATTCTATATCTTCAAACTTTTGTGAAATTTCCACTGAGGAATCCATTTGGTGGCACTTTCTAGTAATCAAACTTTCTTTCCAGCATTTATTATCTATATTCCTATTTATTTAGTCTTTCATTACATCTTCATCCCGTTGCATAGCTGAAGTGTCTAAATACAATCTTTAAGCCATATTCAAATATTGTTTTGCTCAGTGGTTAAACAAATCAAGCTATATCATAATCATATTGCATTAAGAATTTTATAAAGCACAATTTAAACTCAAAATGTTAAGTTGTTAGGTGAATGACATATTAATGGTTTTATATTTTTCTAAAACACCTCTTCACACAAAAGCCTATTGGGCTTGGAGGGTGGATAATGTACAGACTCATCTACATGTACTAAGAAATTCCATAATTTTTATAAATTGAATGGGGACGATGATGATCAAATTTGTGACCACTTGATTACAAAAGCTTTGATACCATGTAAAATACAATTTCAACCCAATGGTTTTATATTTCTCTTACAATTTTAATTTTGGAATTAACTATGAACTGTCAAAATAGATTGAGTAGTTTGTCACATATGGACTAAAAAGGCAATTTTTGTTTGTAAGTTAACTGTTTTCTAATATTGAGATGAGATAAAGATAATTTTATCTGTTTGCCAGAGGGTAAAATGGTGATTTTGGTTTCAAAATTTCCCTTTGACTTAAAGAAAGGGTAAAATCTTTGGAAAAAGACGTGCATTTGTTGCACTCCGTACATTGTTAGTTCTCTTTTTCATGTTTTGGCCTTAATGTTCATTACAGAAGCATACTTGAGCGCAATGAGCTCAAATCTATTCACTGGTCGGCTGGGGCGGTAAGCTCTCTCTTCTCTCTCTCACACAAACTATTATTGAGTAATTGACAGAATTCCACTTTGTCTAGTATCTCATCAAGGCTGTAAGTGGAATTATCATATGTACATAATTATTTGATTAACTACATAATTATTGTCTTTCTCTTTTCATTTGGAGGAACCATAAAATCCAGGGTTGTCTTCTATTTTCAATCATGGATTGGAATAATGAATTTGGTCTTTAGGAGAGGATTGTTTGGAATCTACATGTAGCCATAGTGATGTGCCCTTTCTCTAGGGATAGGGGTAAATCTTTAAGGTTTAGAACATAAAGAAATTAAGTAATGAACACATTATAGTTGTCACATAAAATCTATTAAAGAAATCCATCTGGTATTCCTGGATGTTTTGCTTCGATGTGTTGTGTTGTGTTGCGTAGAATTGTGAATTTAATGAAGTTGGGTTCTATAAAACCTTCTTTGTTTAGAATTCTTCCTTTTCTTTCTCAGAAAAAATATGTATTGATTACCTGCCTAGTACCCTTCAACCCCACCCACAACTGCATACTGGCCCGTGCCTAATGATTGTAGATTTTTCTCTGTTTTTTGCCTTTTACTATTTACTATACCCCCTTAATAATATCTATTTTGTATATCGAGTTGTTTATGTTTTAGCAACATGCCAATTAGCATGATGCAGAACTGGAATTATAATTATTTATGTTATTTATATCCATTTCTTTCAATGTTGATTTCAGGCGCTTCCTTTTGTTGGATTTGCAGTGGCTATGTTCATGTTTTACTCTTTAGTCCCTGTCCAACTTAAGGTGTGGATTCAAACTATAACGATTCTGCTGATATTGTAATTTGAAATTATCTCTGTTATCATGACTGAAAGAAAATGATGACACAAAATAGAAGTAATAATAGATCGACAACTGTAGTATTGATCATTATTAGTATTATATTATTCTATTATTATTATTTACCCTAATATATATTTCTTGGATCAAATTATTTTATAATTAGGGTAGCACTGAACAAAAATTCACTCATGAAGTTGCTTGAAAATCTTGTTTAAATACTATTGGAGAATTCATGCTTATATTATGGCCAATACTTTTCTGACTGGTGACAGCAAAGGGGCTTAGATTTAGATTTAGCCTACCAAATGGAGAATTGTGAGAAATGTCTGGGGTTTCACAGGGAACTAGTGTTTTAAAATATTCTCTGTTCTTTTGTCACAGATCAATGGTTCTACAATGCTAAATCTATCTCTGTTGACATCTGACATGTGGGCTGTCTTAATTCGCATTTTTGCATACCATGAGAAGGTCTGAGAGCAACCTCTGTTGTCTTTATTTTTTTCCACTCAGATGTGAGTAACATGTGGAGTGTGCTTAACATTTCTAGAGTTACTTTTCCTGCACAGGTTGATTGGATGTACTTTGTGGCCTTTGGCGCTGTAGTTGTTGGGCTTATTATCTACTCTGGGTATGTAATTCCGCACTTTATAAGCATAAAATTACTCTTTCTGTAGGCAGGTTCAGTCAGGATTTTCAGAAAATGAATGATTGCAACTCATTCCGCTTAAGAAATTTTCTTAATGTGCTGTGCTCATGAATTTTAGCTTAGCCATTTTCTTCAATCTATATTTCATGGAATAGGATCAATTTACACTGGTATAAGAATAATAAGTATTACATCAAATCTTAACCATTGATTTTCATGCATCTAACGGTTATAATTTATTGGATTATACTCATTAATTAATTATTAATTCTCCATAAATTACAACCGTTAGATGCATGAAAATCAATGGTTAAGATTTGGTATAAGACTTATTATTCCTATACCGGTATAAGTTGATCTTACCCAATATTTAATTGGTTCATGGTATTTGTTTGAGTAGAGATTCAAATTCTTTGCGTGCTGAATCCTTGTACATAGTTTTTGAAAAGATTGCATTTACAAGGACCAAAAAGTGCCTATTGTAGTAGCTTTAAGTTGATGCTTCTCAAAAGCGGTACTTCGATATATCTAATAGGTTTTAAGAGTGTTTGTTGATCTGATTGCAGAGGTGACAAAGATGAAAATCAACACCCTCTTGATGTTGCTGAAGATGCTGGCCAAAGACAACATGATGAGGAAACCCAATTCAGTAAGTCATAGAAATGGAATTGGGGCCGGAAGCTCAAAACACTAAGTAGCTTAAGAGATGCATAAAGGGAAGAACCATGACGAAGAATCTCCTAAGATGGAGACTACTCATTCACATCTTCTCCAAGACTGCAGCACAAGAAGAACACAATTCAATTCAATTCATGTAGATGGAATTTTGAGAATGTTTTGGACGATTTTTTGGAATTTCATAGTCAACTTTCAGTCAATAGTTTGCTAAATACGTGATATGTTATTACTTTGAAGAAACAAAATGGAGGGGAAAAAATCAATAAAACATAGATTTTCAAGGATTACTTAGAGGGATTTCTGCAACCATATTTACTTTTCTGGCATAAAATTTGGGATGATTGATTAAATGCCTCGAACTAGGATAGCCATTCTCCTTACAGTTTTGAATATTCCCTTTTTTTATCTTCTTCCATGATTGGGAGTAGTTACTAATGATGTTTGGTCCTTCTTGGATGTCCAATCTATCAAAAGCAAGAAAAATTCTATCACAGAAAGAAATGCATTAGACGACTGTTGAGCAGACAGAATATTCAACCCGGATGTTTACATGAGCGTGCACAACTGCACATGCATGATTTGTAGTCAGCATCCAAACACGACATGTAAAGTTCATTGCAAAAAGAATATATTTATATCACACCACTCACTGTATCCAGTTAATGGAACACAGCTACGATGCCACAGAGCACCTATAGAATGTGACGCAAAAAAGAATGGAAATAGCACATTATAGAACAAGCATAAGCATACATCACAGAGTCACTTTACAGAAAATTACGTCTATTGATGTAAGCACTAGTGGCAGTGGTATTGGCATGGCATCTCTCTCAACTCGTAACAAAACAATTGAGTAATAATACATTACATTACTATCTAGGTATAATGCTGAATCTCATCGATAGCCACCACCACCACCACCATAAGGCTGTTGAGGATAACCATTAGTTCCGATCATGTAGTTATAATTACTTGGTACATTGGACCCAACAGGTCGTTGCATCTGGACTCCTGGCCCCATACCCATGGGTACATTTATACCTCCATAGCCTCCTCCCATGCCCATTCCCATCGGTCTTAGAGCACCCGCGCCAGCCCGGCCTATACCTGAGCCAGATCCCATAGCTTTACCCATGGTTACTGTTGATGTTACAGGTGTTGTGGTAGGCTTCTCCATCCTCTTGTCCTTCCTATTTATGGCATCAAAGTCAATTCCAATATCTGCTAATGGATTTATTTTAGCTGCAAATGAAAAGCATAGAAAGTCAATAAAAAGCATGAAACATCAACAATCTAACTGAAGTGTTACAAAACAGCATGGGTTGGGTGGGTTTGAGAAGGAAATAAACACTCACATCCAGATATATTCAAATTAACCAATCCCCTGCTTAGTGTATCTGCCCAAACTGTGGATTTTGTCTCAAACTTATCCTTGGACGATTGAGACACAGCATTTACTTGTTGAACACTGTTAAACTGCTGGGGAAAATAGTTTGCATGCTGCGACAGCTGTACTGTTGGAGCTTGGGGAGCTGTAGCTCCTTGTGGCAGGAAGTTTTCACTGTTCATAGGTCCACTTTGAAATTGAGAGTGGAATCCACCATATATATGACCACTTAACTGTGCAGGTTGATCAGCATGAACTGGAAAGGGGTGCTGTGCATGTTGACCAGTGGGAACTGAAAAGGTTTGTCGTATAGGTTGACTGGTTGCAGCTGAGAAACCTTGCTGTGTAAGTTGGCCGGTTGGTACAAAAAAAAATTGCGATGCCATTTGCCCAGATGAAGCTGAAAAGGCAGGTGAAGATTGAGCATTAGCAGGAGCTGAAAAGTTCTGCTGTGAACTCGTCCCTGGTAATGGCGCAGGGGGAAGAATATCAGCAAGAATATCAGTTTCCTGCGGTGGAGTACACATATCTTGAGGCAAAAACTGTATGTTGGATGATAAAGGCTTAGTGTCACTTGCACCAGATGTAGAGTAGGGAACAACAGAAAATGAATCTCCAAACCCAAAGTTAGAGACCGTTTCTGTAATAGGAGCACTTGATTGCGATGGTTCAAGACTCTGATGTGTCTGGAGTTGAGATGGAGCAGTTTCAGTGGAGGGAATGGCCTTAAATGGTGAATCGCCGAATGGATCTTCAAACAACTGCGAAAAAGTCAAACCAACAAATATTATTTCAACAAGGATTAACAAAAAGAAACTGATTCTCGTAAGAGAGGAAGTGCGAGGAGCTGTTTTATACACTGAGATGCAGAAGCATTTAAAAGATTATTCTAAGCACCAGCGATTTAATAGACAATGTCATTCATAGAAACGCACCAGTTTCAATATTCAGACTACCACCCACCCATTTTGGTCCACAAACAGAAGTGATAGTAACTACTATGCTACATTTCTTAACAAGAACGCACCCATGTTTACAATCAAACATGCAAAATCAGAAAAGACAGAAGAAACAAGGAAACAAAGTGAAAACTGGAAGCATTCCAAGTCATGAACAAACAAATTCCTACCGGATTGAAATTATTGGATGCGGATGGAAGTGGTGCAAAGGATGCTGTTGACTCAAGGTTTGCATTGTCTTGAGGGATTGTGGTTTCTGATGCAGAAGGCACAAGAGCCAATGCATTTGAAGAGAATGACTCTGACAGGGAGCCAAATAAGTCCATTTCAACATTATTAACCGGAGCTGGGGCAGCTAAGAAGAAACATAAGGATGTCATGAATATAATGCCTAAGAAATGTTCGTTGCAAAGAAAGTAGCATTAAAGCATTAATGTAAGCTCTTGAAAGCCATCAATCAACATTAAACTAAAACCCAAAATGGCTGCCAATAACAATTTCATCAAATCTCAATTAGGGCCACGCTATTGAATTTACAAGTATGGGATTGAAGAGATGGATGTATTAAGTGTTATGTCTTGCCACACACCATAGTTGAACATTCCTTAAAAGCATTTCCAAGTGGTCCAGAGCATACTTCTTGATCACACCCTACTCAAATGCATATAAATGAAAAGAAATTCAATTATGAACTTGACTAATGAATGGGAACTTTCCCGGTAATTACTGAATCTTAAATTCTTAAGTAAGATTCAGTTTCAGAAGTCTTCAAAATTTTATACAATTGAGCACATATACCACTCCATAGTCTGTACGGCAGTCAGTCTCATATAAATCAGTACAAAACCAATTCAACTCAAAAACTTAAGCTATTGAGTGACGTTACATGAATGGTTTTATATTTCTCTAACACGCCCCCTCACACGAGAACCCACTGGGCTTAAAGGGTGGACAATAAACAAGTCCACCTACCTGTATTAAGAAGCTCCACAAGATTTAATTACTTATTAGTTAAATGGAGGGTAGTAAGGATCGAATCAGTGACACCAAGGCTCTGATACCATGTAAAAAACCAATTCAACCCAAAAGCTTAAGCTATTGAGTGAGGTTACATTAATGGTTTTATATTTCTCTACAAAATCTACAACCAGAGACTCATCAGTAAAATGATTCCAAGCACCTATCTCACTATCCTTGTTACCTGATCATGTGAGCAGTAGAGACATGCTACAAAATGCCTCATTATTTCATCAATTTTGAAAGTGCTCTGGCAAGGCCCCAATTAGGACCAGAAAACCAGATTGTTAGGACTTAGGAGCACAGCAGATACACGCTCAGGAACACTTACAAGTGAAAGAACTCCATTTGTAATGAGAGGCATGCAAAGAAAATTACAAAAACCCGGTTAACCCGTCCAGCAGAGACAATATACTGAATAAGAACTTAATATGAGCATAAAAAAGCCAATACAAAAAATAATCTAACATGTAAGATTTTCCAAAACAAGAAACACTGAGATTCTGTAACAAGCATACTGAGGATCATTATACTGAATTCTTTAAGGAAATTTTCAGTTCACACCTGATCCAGGACCACGAGGATCAAATTCATCAGAAGCCTCAACTTCCCAGTTTCCAGATGTAGCAGTACTGGCAGCAGCAGTTGCTTCCGTTGAATTGTCGCTTACAAGAGGAGAAGATCCTGTAGGGGCAGAGGTTTGGTGTGGATTATCGCTTGCAGAAGAGCCTCTTGGAGCAGATGCTGCTGAAGTTTCTCCATCCCTGCAATCAAAATGCTAATAATAACAGATTCCTTTGTTAATAAGTAATCTCCGTATTGTAAAATTCATACCTTTCGTTGTGTAGAGGGCTTTGAGAAACAGCTTCTTCATAACTAGGAGGAGCAACCATATTTTTCTCAGAAAGTTTCTGTTCTAGCCTGCCCATTGTATTGCACATGGTCAATCTATAAGACTACATGTATGTGTTATATGTTACAACTGTGTATTGTTTAACAGATTCAACGCTAGTCAGCTCACAGCTGTTATAATAGTGGTCAGATCCATTTGTCAGTTAGTTAGATTACTGTTAGAGACAGTGGCACATATATAAAAGAATGTACTCATGTGTAAACACTCTCTTAGTCATTCATTCATTCAAATATATTTCGCAGAACTATCTCTCTTCTCTTTTCTCTGCTTCTCTAACATTTTCTCTTAGTTTCTCTACTTTTCTCATAAAGTTCCAATTCTATCACTAAAAAATGCCTAGTGGGATTATGCAAGAATATGCGGGAGAAAGTATATCTCTATGCACAATTTACCTTCTCTCCAGTGAGTGGTCTTCAGCTTTAGCACTGTTACGAGAACATTGCATAAAAGATCGAGTTAGTAGCAACAATGAGGTGCATCACACGGCAATAACATTACATTAATCCCAATGATTTCATGATAAATGAGAAGGTAAATTTTAATAATTATAAAAAAAGATCACATCTTGAAGTGACTTTCATTAATCATTTTTGCTACTGAAAGAACCCAAACCAGAATACTTATGTCCATTGAATCAGCTCAACTAATAAAGGCCCTGTTACAACACTCCACATCAACATCAATATCATCTTTATTCCGAACTAGCTAGGACCGTTGATGAACCCAAATAAAAAGCAATAAAATATTGAAGGAAAAGAAGAATAAAAAAGAGAGAATTAATAGATAAAAAAATAAGTATCCTTTTTTAGGCTTTGAGTAGAACAACGCTGAAACTAAATTGCAATTGAGTAGCCGAGGATAGCATATGGTCAAGACCTATAAATAGCCACTTATATAATAAACCTTCTTTTGGACCTTGAGATAAAACCTTGAAGCGCAAGACCTGATTCCTTCATTTATGCTTACAACTTTCCATCATATACCATTTCCCCCCACAATGTGAAGTTGGTTATACTGTACACCCCCTATATATCTATCTTGTAACTTATCTTATTTATGCATATCCAACAAAAAATCAGAGAATCACCGGAAATGAATAAGAGCACTAAACTTGTTATTTCACAAATTAATCATCAACTAAGATTTTAAAAATAATCAAACATCAATTTTTATAAAAAAATTATCTTTATTTTTTGTCAAGAGTATGCAACTCACCGGTACATTCCTTAAAATTTTATGTTATAGTCAAAGTGAAAAAATTTAAGGAAGATGTAGGAAGCAATAATATAAGAAATTGGCAATTGCACAATTATTTCTGTCTTGAACTAATTAAAAATATAGATCCAAACCAGATAGGTGTTGAATGGATTGGGTTCTCCATAATCAAAAAATTTTAAACTGAAAAGCTTAAAATTAGACTTGATTTCTTGTTTTCCCCTCAAAATCAAAGCTACCCAAAGCCAACTGATGAAAATCCCAAAAAATCCATCAGCTTGAAGCAATAATGTAAAATACAAATGATAACTAGAAAGCTAGGATCCAAAACTAAATGAACCCCAAGAACTTTAATCATTAAAAACACATTATCTACTACAGATTTTATTGGATAAAAGAATTCATCTCATTCATATATAGGCTCATACCGAGATGAGCGTTGACCATCGTCATCATAGCTACGGTCATGATCTCTATCAGAGCTCCTGCTTCTTGAACCATATTGGTAATCATCCACACTTTGACTTCTTCCTCTGTATTCATCATCCTTGTAACCATCTCTGCTATAGCGTTCCTCATAACCTCTGCCATAACGATCTCCATCACGACTATACCGATCATCATCTCTATAGCGCCATTCTCCTTCTTGGCCATTACCATAACCACTTCTATCTTCCTCCTTGCTTCCATAACGATCATCATCATATCTATCACCATAAGCTCCACTGCTTGAATATGAACCCGGCCTATACATTCCATCTGTTGAATTGTTGCGAAACCTGATGAATCATGTAGGGAAATTACATGTCTCCTCAAACTCCACATGCATACTTACATATGTCATATATTCTACCCTGTGATTTTAGATTTGTAATCTAGAAACAGAAAAGAAATTCAAACACACAAATGATGGATATTATAAAACTTGGGGAAAAAAGAAAAAGAAAATATCTACTTAAACAATATCTGATTCTTCCTAAATAAGGTGGTAGATATAAGTCTTTATGGCAACAGGAAAATAACAAAGTTCAAAATATCAATAAAATTAATGAGAAGAAAATTACTTGTCCCTGTTAGAAGCAGCCTTCTCTCTAACCTCTGTGATTTTTTCTTTATCATTCACAAGGAGAACGAGACTCTGTGATTTCTTCCTGACGTTGTTTCCCTGGTCTCTTCCACTGGAATCAATGTATTGAAAATTGGACAATGTCTGTTCACATGGCATTTACAATATTATCAAATTGCATTCTAATTTTTAGATCATTTGTGTAATACTAGGGACTTGCATGGCAATTAATTAACAGTACATAAATGTTAAGTACAATTAATAAAATGGAAATTACTGATATTTGATGGGCATGTTCTCTAATCTCCTCTATGACTCGCTCTGACCCATGAGCCACCAAGTACTCTAGTACTATCAAAGCCTGTTATCGAACATTCAATGCACAGAGATAATCAATATTCTATTCCACGAGAGTATGATCAGCAATAAATGCAAAAGACATACAAGACAGAATTCTTAACAGGCAAAAATCCATCATAATTTCAGATGATGTAAATACACCTATTAAGACAAAATTCATAAATGGTGTACTAAATGGTCATGGGTGCATTGAAGTGTTGAGGGCACAACAGAGCATTACGACAACCAAAAAGAAATAAGAGAACAGAACCCATGAGTAACTGCAACTAAAACATAAAGTACTTCTACAAAACCTTGTAGACATGCCGCCAATTCTTGCCAGTGTCATTAATCCGCTTCCAGATAACTGCCATGATCATCTGGTATTCATGACTGCAAGGGAGCTCAAAAATGAGATTCTTCTTGTACAATATCAAGCATAAAATAATGAGTTCAAACTCACTAGTTTTTGGTTGCCAGAGCAATTTCTGCAAGAAGTGCTCCATGAGGACCCCAGGCTTCATTGCTGGTAGCATCAAGAATCTGGAAGAGGGGAGAAATAACTAATCTATATAAATTTTGCATGATAAGATTGTAATATATAAAATTCAAGATAGTCAACAAACTATTTCATGAGCAAGTATTATAGAAAAGTAAATCCAGACCTCACACAAATTCTTACACCAACCATCTTATTATGAGTTTGGTAATCATAGTTTTACAGTGAACATTCAAAGAAAAAATTTACCTTCTGTTCTATCCCAGGAACTTTCAACACTTTCTTATTTACTTCTCTTTTACTGCAAGAATAGAATGAAGAGAGTAAGAAATTTGTTCAGAAAAAGGTAATAAACAGTCAAAATAGAAATTACATTCATGTCATTTTGAGCCATGCATTAATAAACAGTTAGACTTACAGATCCCTAACAGTTTGACCAAGGGCCTTCTTCATTGTAGCTGGTTTTTAGTAGTAGCGTGCCAGCACCAATGACTGAATTGCCATTTACAAATAAAGCCCACTTCAGATTCTTGTCTTGCACTAGTTCAAGGAAAAACTTAGACTTTCTTCAAATTCTGAAAAGATTTTTTCAAGTAATATTCTTTGTTTTACTAACATAGCAGATAACAGTTAATTTCTGAAAAGATTCTTCGTTTATCATAGCAATCAAAGTTCAAAGAATCCGAAATTGTACAAGAAAACATTGAAAGACATAACATAAAGGTCTGTGAATGAAATCATAGAACACCAAAAACTCATTAAAGCCAAGTTGAACTGGAAAGAACAAAGAAAAACTAACAGGGGCACCACAACTAAATGTGACTCCTCGAAGCTAATAATTCCAAGAAATGATAAAAATAAAATCTTTATAAATGTTGACCACAAAAAACAATCAAGGAACAAATTATACGAGAAATCAAGCATCAAAACCAAAATCAAAATTCAGACCCGGAAGAAGCATGAGATGGAATGTTAAGAATTGAGATAAAATCAAGAAAGTTAAAGAGATGCATTAGATCCAATACATGAAAAAGTGAATAAATTGAAGCAAACCCAGATTTGAGCAAGCATAAATGAGATGGAACCTGATCAAAGTAGTCGACAGCAACCAGGTTGAAACTCTTGAGTTTGTCTCAAAAATAAAATTACGAGGGAAAGAGAGAGAAAGAAAAACAAAAGGGTCGCCGACTCTGATTATTTGCAGTGATTTTCTCTCTCTAAAAACGAAAGAAAATTGACAGTGACATTTACAAGTAGAGAATTAAAGAATGAATAATATGTCCAAAAATCAATTAAAAGGTTAAGGAATCAGGGTAGTGACAATAATATGATGCGAGTGTAGTGTAAATGGTTCAAAGTCTTCCCATAAATATATACCAACGTCCTTTTATTATTTCTTTCTTTGTATATATGTCAATTTTCTATCAAAGTAGATGTTTTATTTAGGAGGTGAAGTAGATTAATGTAATCATGTCTTGAGAGGCAGCAACATAAATTAGGTAACTGTTTTAAGTTTTGAGTAAGTTGAGAATCAAGGAGTTCTGCCATGGTTGATGAACGATGATTTCTATAAAGTTTCAACAAAGAGAGTAAACGAAGATACTATTAACCAGGCCGGTCGATCCAGAATAATTATATTTATTCATTACATACAAATTAGTTTCCAAAAGTTGACTCGATCAAAAAAAAAAACAAAAGTCCGATATTTTACTTTCATTATGAAGAAAGAAGATGACAAATATTTCGGTATTTTCATAATTTAATTATTATAATTTAGGATTGTATTTATCTCATTCAATATTAGATAAATCAAATTTTTACACACACATAATAAAGATGGGTTCTATTTATATTTTTTCTCTTTTCAATTATTTGTGGGTCTCTCTTATAATTTTATGTCACTAACATTAGATAATCTATCTTCATCAACATAAGAAAAATATTTTCCTATAATTTATTAGGTCACACTTATTAATTAATTATTAATTTTTAATAAATTATAACCATTAAATTGACAGAAATCAACAATTACAATATAATAATAAGAGATAATAAGAAAAATAACATTTTCCATTCTCTTTTTTTTTTTTTTTCTAGCGTTTCTTACGCTGGTAAAAACACAATGAGCACGAATGATTTTAAAGGTTTAAATTATTAAACAGGAATCGGGATTCTTTTTAATTATTAGTTCTCAACCATTAAAAATAATTTTTAATGAGAAATTTTTAAAAGTAAAGACAATTCACTTTTATATGTTAAAGGATATATAAGATGTTTACAATTGAAAAAAAAAAGATACATAGAATATTTTATTTATCTTTTTTCATATTTACCTTATCTATTTATATCAAATACCGTTGCATCAGAATCCTCCGAATAATCTCATAAGGGAGTGTTTGGTTGAGGAGAAATTTTTTGAATACTAGAGAAATGTAATTACTAGGAAAATTGTTGGAATGTGAATTTGGTAGGAAAGTTAAAAAAAAATTGTTTAGTTAGTCAAAATTTTACCAGGGAAATTGAGTTAAATTTTGTGAGTCTTTGTTTGGTTGAAGGTGAAATAATGATGGGTAAATGTGTTCAAATACCAAAAATAACCCTTGATATTTTAGAGATGTAGACATGTGTATTTAGAAGAGGACAATATGGTAACACTCTTCATTCACCTTTTTGCATTTTAGCTAGTTTTCTAGGAATACCACGTCCTAAATAGTAAAGTTCTATCATGATTTGCTTTTGATTTTGCACATGCTTGTGAAGGAGGGGGAAAAGAGAAGCATAGCTAAATTTTTTTAATCTTTCTACCAAACAAAGCAATCATAAAATGCCACTTCATGATAGATGGAGAACCAAATAAAAAACTTCAACCAAACGCCCTTTCCTCTGTCGGACAGTGGCTTTGTAGTGAAAAAAAAAAAACACAGCTTCCTTTTGCTATTTTATTCTTTAGAACTTTCTTATTTATTGTTATCAACTTTTTATTTTTTGTCTGTTTTTAAATTATAATTTTCTATAAATTTCTTGCTTTTTAGTAAAAGTATCTGAAATTTTTTTAAAAAAAAAACTTTATTTTCTTAAAAAAAATTCTTCTGAAAAATGTAATGCATAAAAAATCTTTTTTCAGAAACATATCTAACCGGATACAAAATTGACGGAAGCATGTATCGACTTTGTAAGTAATATTAACCTTTTTATTGAAACATTATCACATGTTTTGTCAGAAGAACAATCCATGCATGGTCTTATGATGCCCCATAGTCTCTTTCAAGGGTTGAAAAGATTGTGCATCACTGTGTAGCAATTTTTCTTCTGTCAAAAGTTGTTGGGCTGCAAAAGCAACGAGGTGTTCCAGAAATGTCTGCGATCGAGTAAATAACTCTACGAATGAATGGATCGGATCGAATTGGAAAATGGAAATATTTGTACAAGTTACAGTGATCAAAATGTCATTATTTATCAATTTTTTTATCTAAATGTTACGTGAGCAATGTTATTTTTCAATCTGCTACGGAAACAAGTTCTCTACCAGGTGTAACGAACTCGATTTACTGACGTGTCACGTTTCTAGTGAACACCAAGTTCGCTACACAGGATAGCGAACTTGGTTTTAACCAAATTCGCTACTCAATATAGCGACCTTCATATTTTTTTTTTTAACTTGGTACTTGTTATCCACTAGAGATGTGACACGTCAGCAAACTGAGTTCGCTACACCGGGTAGCGAACTTGCCCCCGTGACAGATTGGAAAATAACACTGTTCGCGTGGCATTTAGATAAAAAAATTGGTGAAAAGTGACATTTTGATCAGTGTCCCAAAAGCAATTCACTAATTGAAATAGAATAGAATATTTTAGGGGCAAAAAAACAAATTTTTTACACCAAACCTAGAAACATATCCTACACCCAGTCCTCATAAAGAAATTAGAAACAGATTAAGGGGGTGTTTGGTTCAAGCTTTTGGAGAGGATTACCGGTAATCCTTCTTTGGTAAATGTAATTACCACGTTTGGTAGAAGGAATAAATTACGATTCCCGGATATCCAAGGATTACCGGTAATTTGATTTATAAAGAAAAGTCACTATTCAGATTACCAAAAATAATATGGTAATTCGGAATACCAATCAGAATACCAAGTAAAGGGAAAGCACAACAATAAATTTTGAGACAAAAATACCCCAATACACATAAAAATCTAGACCAAATCTATCAATTACAAAAGTAAAAATAGTTTGGGGTTATTTTTGTAAAATAACCTCATATTCCAAGTCATATTTCGTTCTAAACCAAATATGGAATTAGTAATTTTTACCCAGTATTCCCGGTAATATTTTGGGGAACCAAACACATCTTTCGTAAGATTCCAAGTAAACTCAATTTCTACTGAATTCCCATTAATCATGATTCCCGGTCACCAAAAAATTTCTCCTGTACCAAACACACCCTAAAGTTTAAAGTTTGATAAAGGTAATGATGACATGAAGACTCGTGCTTGGGTCATATTTTAGTTGAGTATTTTCTTTTTGGTATATGTATATATTTTTAGTGTAATTTTTCTTTTCAGATTAATTATTTTATGCTATTTTCAAGTTTTTCGAATATCAATGTTTGAACTTTGATAGATTAATTAGTAGTGGCAAATATCAAATTTTGACAACTTAATTATATAAATTTTGATATCATGTATTGTAGGTTTTTTTTGACCTTTTTACCCTTCATTAATTAATTAATAACCATTTTGTCCCATATTCGAAACTATCTATCAATCTGCCCCTCTTTAATCGATTAACTTAAAGATTTAATATTTACAAAAAAAAAACTTAAAGATTTAATTAATTAAATGGTCAAAACTGAAAAAAATGGTTGACTTGAAGATTTAATCGATTAAATCTTTAACTTAATCGATTAAATCTCCAACAACCATCAAAGAAAAACAATTTACTGTTCAACGAAAATGGCGTTAGATGAAAGTGGTGTTTGGGGTGAGAAACACTGACACTGACCATCAAAGAAAAACAACGAAAATATTTATAATTATATATATATATATATATATATATATTTATAAGATAATAATCATGTAACATCCCGAGCGCTGATAAGAGCGAGGAGTGATCGCCGGTGCAAAGAGGCACGGACAAGGAGCGGCTCCTGACAGGCTTCCAGCGGGGGGTTACATGTATGAATGAATCGAATCGACACCCGAAAGAGAGGGATTCCAAAGGCTGTGCAGGTATAAGGCTGCACAGTTTGAGATAGCTTATAAGAATTAATTGGTACTACCTATGCTAACAAGATGCATCTGCTTTTCGGTAGCCCAGATCGGGAGAACTCCACAGTTAAGCGTGCTTGACTTGGAGCAATTTTGAGATGAGTGACCTCCTGGAAAGTTTTCCCGGGAAATGTGCGAGTAAGGAAAAAGCACACTGAAAAGTCTCGTGTTAGTATGTGGGGATAGTCATTGATTCTTGAAGCGGTCGGGCGTTACAAGTGGTATCAGAGCAGGGCCTCTCTTCCAGTACGGTGTGGTTCGAGGACGAACCAGGCGGAAGCTGGTGGGCATGTAACATCCCGAGCGCTGACGAGGGCGGGGAGTGATCGCCGGTGCAAAGAGACATGGACAAGGAGCGGCTCCTGACAGGCTTCCAGAGGGGGGTTACATGCATGAATGAATCGAATCGACATCCGAAAGAGAGGGATTCCAAAGACTGTGCAGGAGTGAGACTGCACAGTTTGGGATAGCTTATAAGAATTAATTGGTACTACCTATACTAACAAGATGCATCTGCTTTTCGATAGCCTGGATCGGAAGCAATTCTGGGATGGGTGACTTCCTGGGAAGTTTTCTCGGGAAGTGTCCGAGTGAAGAAAAAGCACACTAAAAAATCTCGCGTTAGTATGTGGGGATAGTCATTGATTCTTGAAGCGGTCGGGCGTTACAGAATGCTCCCCAACGAAACTTCCCATTCTGACTTCAATGTGTCGGGTTCAGCAGCAACTTGACACCTTTGTAGCAGTCTTCAAATTTTCTTGCTGGTATCGACTTCGTCATCATGTCAAACTAATTGAGGTCGGTGTGCACTTTAATGAGCTTGAGTTGTCCATCCTCCACAACATCCCGGATCCAGAGATACCTTACATCAATATGTTTAGTACAGGAGTGATAGGTCGAGTTCTTCGTTAGATGAATAACGCTTTGGTTATCACACTTTAGCTCGAATTTGTCTCGATCATGGCCGAGTTCTAGAAGAAACTTCTTCATCCACAACATCTCTTTGCAAGCCTCAGTCGCAGCTATGTACTCGGCCTAGGTCATCA